CACAGGTTAAACTAGCGGTTGCAGTTCTAACAAAGATCTATAATGGCAATTCGTTTTTGTAGTTTGCTGCAAAAATTATACTGTAAAAGATCTACTGTCAAATTTTGATATTATAACCACAATTTTTATGTCCATTTATAGTTTAATGGTTGATATCCGTCCCATTCCCCTGAATGCAAAAGTCGTCGCGTAACAGGATAATAAGTAAACGTTATCGGCTGTCAATCTAATTAAATTTTTGGCAACAGTGCTTTTGTTACCACTTCTCCCTTTGTAATTCTATTAGAGTGCAGTTTTAACTAACAAGATTTTATTTTCAATGCAAACTGAAAAATGCAAACTCGAACTCAACTAATTATTTATTGAGTTTGCGATTCTTGTATATTCAATCACTTAAATAGTGTTGTAAGCTGCCACTCATATTACAGATTAAAAATAAATAAATTATGATTCTTAAGCGGTAACAAATTTTTAACTTTAAATTTATAAATTTGACATTAAAATTCAAAAAATTTGACTTGATTAACCTGCTTAAGAATAAAATAACCTTGGATTAGTAACATTTACATTTTTCTATCAATTGGATATCACTCCAAAAAAACACTAACATTACATTTATTTACAAAGCAAGAAAAGAGAAAAAAATTCTTCCTGCAATATTTTACTTAAAAATTTATTTTTAAATACTTATTGTGTACTAGCAAATATTAGTAGATTGAAATTGATAAAATATAAGCTTGTCTAATATCTTCTAATGATCTTTTTTTTTAATTGTATTCAATGTAGAAAGGAATTTAATTCGTATAACAGATAGCATTACTGAAAACAATGTTAAAAGTTTCAAGGATTTAGTTGAATTTTTTTTGTTTTCAAAATTTTTCTAAAATTTACGAAGGTTTTTTTAATGAAATTTTATCGTTTCTTTTAAATCACGTTTTTCTTACTTACATCTAATTACGTGTATTTTTTTTAATGATACCAAACTTATACAACAATAATGTACCATGTATACTTACATACTAAAACTATATTCTATTGAGCAATTAAGAAATATTTTAAAATATTGTAGTTTTGAAGAAAATAACAAGTTTTAAAATATTCAAACTCAATAAAAATTGTTTTATTGTACAATCAATACTCATATTGTGTAAAAAGTCGAAAACATGAAATAGTGTAACATGTACTGAAATACAAATTAAATTTTTATTTTGATGTAATTCTGAATTTTTGAAAGACAAAACAGCGTGATTATTGAATTTAACAGTAGATTTTAATGTTGTAGAACCTTGGTTAAAAAATCATGTGTCAATAATTCTCTTTATAATAAAAAAAACTCAAATTTTCTCAATAAACGAACAAGTTCTCAAAAATTCAGGTAAATTTTTTTTATAGACAAATGAGTTGAATAAGTTTTTCTGTACTATAACTGACTAAAATATACAAATTAACTCAAAAATTACTTTAACACTTTGGTTACTACGCTAAATAATGCTCTCATCAGGCAATTTATTAATCTCATTCAATTATCAAACTATGGTCTCATATAATTATAATGAGAACATCATTTGTAAAATTAAATGGCCACTGTCTCAGTCTAAAATGCCAGTGACTACAACAAAATAACAATAATATTTTTAAAATTAAACTCAAAATTTAATATTGGAATGATTACCAAAATGAGAATTTTTATGACTCTAATTTACGGTTTTTAAGTAATGAAGAAAAATAGATTTTAATATAAAAAAAAAAACAGTTTAGTTAGGAAAATTAATCGCGCTATATACATACATGGTACACTATTAAAAAATAAACATTTTTTTTTCCTCATATTTTTCAGTTTCTATTACAAATCTTAATTTTCTTATTTTTTTTTTTGTAGATTGGAAATTTTTTAATTTAAAATGGTACACTTTTAATGAATAGAGAAATTTGAAAAAAAAAAAAAACGAATGTGTATACTTAAATACATATATAGAAGAAGAAAAATGAAGGAAAAACTTGGATGTAAAAAAATGTAAAGGCAACAACACAACAAATCATATATGAAAAAAAAGTTACAAAAAAAACAAATAAGCAGAAAATCAGAAAAAAAAAAGAAATAAACCGTAATAAAAAATTAGTTCGTGGAGTACCTACTACTGTAAAATTTATTACAAACAGCACAGGTAAAATAACAATGAATTTTAGATTAAATCTATGCGTGCATTCCATTCAAAAACATTTACAATTGCATATAGTGTGGATGTGTGTATATGTATGGCCTTATATTATTATATTTGTATGTATGAATGTCGCTAATTCCAGTTTGCACTATATAATATTCATATGTGAATACTATGTAGTTATGTTGTGCATATTACTGCACATATGCACGTTAATAGAACTGTAAACGTTGTAAGCGATTGTTTTATTTTATAGCGGGTCCTCTATTATAATTTTTTTTTCAAATTTAATTTTTTTTTTATTTCTCATTACTGTTTTTTTTTTGTTACTATAGAAAGGGGGAAAACCATATTTTTATGCATTTTCTTACAATGTGATTTCAAGATTTATAAATTAAGTCAATTATTTTACTGTTTGTATTAAAATTAGATGAAGAATCTAGTGGTTCAAAACGAGCTTCATAAATCGTTATATGCTGTAGAATATGAAAAAGTTTTTTCCATTGAAGAAGAGCGAGAAAAATTAAAAACAAAATTTTCAGATCGAAAATTTGACGAATATTTTATTTTATTAAGATTAAATATAATACTTCTTTCAGTTCATTATCATGAACAACATTGGGAATTTCCCGAAATTTCTTTATATTCCTGTAACATATTTGGTTTGGAAAGTGTTCGAAAATGGCAAGTCACCGATTCGACCTTCGTTCGATGATATTTCAGTTCTTGCTTTGAAACTTCTTGTAACGCAAACACATCCTCTAAATTTTTTACAATTTTCCGAAGTTTTGAATAAGCTTATGTAAACTTATTTTATACTTAATATATTAATCATTTGATTCTTTTTCGTCAAACGGAATTAAAATTTTCAATTTAACAATTCAGTTCCAAAAACCTTTTAATTTCCAAAAAAATTAATATTTTAATTGAACAGTGAACAAGGACAAAGCTTTCGAACTAGCAAATATTTATTATTAGTTATTTTTGAAATACTAAATTGGATCAGTGTTCTTTTTCTAAAACAAGTTCTAACTCCCACATATTCTTTAATATATTCTTCTTTTAGAATCCCGAAATATAAAATTTATGATTTAATCTCTTTTGTTTAAAATCAGGTTTACCTGGAATAGTCGTGATTAAAATTTTTATGTATGTACGTAAGAATATAAGAGAAATGAAAATTTACTTTTATTTTGTAAATATTTCAATAACTACAAGAGAAAAATTTAAAATTGAAATCAAAACTTAATTTAAATTTAAAAACAAATTTGAAAATTTATTTAATTTAAATATAAAAAATTTACTTATTAAAAATTACTTAATTTCAAGAAAAAAATTTAAAGCTTATTCACATTATAAAATTTTAGAACGTAGAGAGCCCTAAAATAATTTTTCCAGTTTAGTTATTTTTGAATTATAGCACAGACTACTAAAATTATTAATAAATTCTAGTCAAATGTTCTTACAAATTAAATTCAATGTGTATAGTATAAGATTAGTTTTATAGTTTATGAGAGTATGTATATGTCATTAGTTTAAAAATATTTTCATAGAGAGAACAAAAATATTTACTGAATTTGAGAAAAAAAATGACATGATATTTTCACATTTACCATATAATTAATCGGTAATTCACTTGTTCTGAAGTGAAAAATTTTCTCTCTTTTTCTGATTTATTTTTACTTCTAAATAAGTATGTAATTATATTAATAAATTTAATACTTTGTATGACATATTATTTATAATTATAGAGTATATGTTCATGAACAGTTGAGAGATTCGTTCTATGTTGTTCAATATTTTAATGTTTGTATGTTTTGTATGTTTGTATATTTTAAAAAATTCTTTTCATATTCTATTTTGAGTAGAAAATCTTATGCGCATATGTAAATGTATATAATATGTTAATTGATTTCAAAATCGAGTTTAATTCTAGCTTATAATTTGTTGTTGTCTCCTTCTTTATTACTTATTTTCAGTCATCTTTTTTAGTCAATTTCAAATTAGATTACAATTTTCCCGATATTAAATTTTTTAATTGAATTTTTTCATATTTGTTTATTTAAGTGAGACAAAAAATTTTTGAACGTGTTTGCAAAAGTAAGATTCTTATGTAATATGAATAAAAATCTTGTCACTCATAATTACTTTGTAAGAATGTGTGATACCTACTCACTTATTTCTCACCAGTTAGGCAAAAGGTAAATTATTATAATTTTTTACACAGATTATGCTATAATAGCATAATTTAATTTCCGTTTTCATAAAAGTAGAAAAAGCAAATATATACATAAAAAGTCACTTAAGTGACTAACAGAAATTTGTAAGAATATGTATAAAGCTTTTACGGCTGCTGTTGTATTGATGAAATAATACGCTCTCGGTATCAAGGTTTTGAAAATTTGAATAATTTTTACACGATTTTCAAGTGATATTCTGGGAATCGTAGGTCGATTCATGTTTTGAAGAGGATAAGATTTAGAAATAGGTAAAATATCAGAGTATATCAGAGAGAACTTATCTCAAAAAAAAAAACTCATTTCATATTTTATTAGCCAAGCTATTTTCAATGCTATTAAAGGTTAAATATGAAAATTTAAGCAATCTTTTGCTAAACTATTCTTAACTCAATTACTAACTTGAAATTATTTTTGAAAAGTAATTTGTAAATTGGAATGGTTTAAAAATAATAAAAACTATTCTAGCATAAAATAATTACTTATTGTTTTTGTGTAATGAGCATTTTGTATGTACATATATACGTACAAACATAAATTTTCGAATTCGCCAAAAATCTGTATAATTGTAAAAAAAATTTAAATTTTAATTTTCATTTACCTTTTTTTTTTCTTTTAAATCTTATTTTCTTTTGTAATCCAATTAATTAAAATATCAGAGATAATTACGATGAAATTGTTAATTTTGTTTTAAACACTTTTTGTTTTCTTAAAATTTTGTCTGTTATTATTTTGTAAAACGCAACATAAAATTATTTTTTTTAAGGTAAAAAATATATAATTAAAGTGTAATGTAATTTTAATATAATTATAATCTTTCTAAAGCATAATATTATTATTCTTTGTACTAAATGAATTTGCCAACAGAGCAAGTAGCAGACTTAATTTTTTCCCGCACCATAATAACCTCGAGTTTTTACTGGGAATAAAAAAAAATTAAAAATTCACTTAAAATATTAAATGAAATATTTCATTTCTTCTGTTTTGGTGGTCACTATTTCAAGTTATAAAATATTTTAATTAATTTTTATATTTCCTATGTATATAGTTTAATAAATTGACCTGAATTTGATTTCTTAAATAATTACTAAACTTGTTTCAGAAATTCCTTAGAAAAATATTTTTTTAAATTTACATTTTAAAAATTATTTCTACACATTTACGCATTAAAAATCACACTTCTTTCATAAATTATTTTATATTTTCATTTAACTTTTAAATTATAAAATTTTGAAATAAATTAATAATATGAATTACACTTTATATTTAATTAAATTTAAAAAAAATATCAAGAGAGTAAAGCTATGAAACAAAAGATTTCAATGCGCGGAAAAACAATATATTCACTCGAACGTTTTATAAAAAAAAAGAATAAAATAAATAAAACGATTTTCCAAGCGATTTTTTCCTTTAGATCATAACTTGTTGAATATGTTGCAACTACTAAATGTAGTCTCTGTGAAATTTTTGAGCCAAAAACAAAGATAAAAATCATGAAAGCAAAAAAAGAGAATCAAAGAAAACAAAAAAAAATGAATTCATACAATAACAACAACTTTTATTTTGTGCGAAGTTTTATAGAAAATTAAAAAAAAAATAACACAGAAAAACTATATTTAAGCAAATAAAGCCTTAGAAAATATTTTATAAAATTGGGTGCTATGAAATTGTTAACAATCGAAAATAATATGAGGCAGCAAAAATATGGAAATTTTGAATTTGGGTCCGTTAGAAGCTAAAAATATCGAGGAAAATTTCAAGAGAACAGTCACTAGTCGTTAGGTCAAAAAACAAAATCTTCAAGGGCAATTGACAGGACCACAGCTTGAAATGGACTAATCAATACATATAATTATTTAGGTGTAAATAATGCGGCAGTATTCTGTGAAAAAGAATGAATTCTACTCACAATTAGAGACAAAACTAATTAGGACACCCATCGCAGATATCGTCGTACTGATGGGTGACATAACCGCTAAATGTGCGATCAACTGATGACAGATCGGAAGTAATGGGGGGACATCATTTAGGCTGATTGCGACATTTCAAGAGTATAATACGCGATCTGGAGCAAAATACCATGAGAGTCGATTTCCGAATAAATACGAGTAAGACAAAAAATAGAGAATTAACGCAAGTTGCCTCTTGAAAATTGATCCCTTTCATAATTTATATCGCATCAAAAAAACAATTTAATAATAACTATTTATTTATTAAAAAAAAATTGTTTCTGATCGCACAATTTAATTTGGGCCATTAGTTATTTGGAGGCTTTGTAAAAGCACCTTATATAATAAAAATATATTCCACCTGAGTTTTTGTTATATTAAATAAAGTATGTTTATAGTGTAAGTTAGCATGGCACAAATCTACCAATAGGTTAAAATTTAGTGGTGGTGTTATTAAACTGGTTATTTTTATTTTCTGTGATCAAGTTGTGTAGTGGTTTTTATTCTATAGATGCACGGTCGTACATATGTTTACTGTGTATATAAATATGATGTATAAATACATATTTGCGATATTAGAGGGAATTTAAAAAAAAAAGAAATAGAATTTTGTTTTTATTTATATTTATAAAAACATACATGCCTATATCATTTAAATGAATATAAAGCAATGCTTATGTATATGGAGAATGTGATTCCATAAATCAATTGAAGTATTTAAGGTATGCTGATGATGTAGAAGGAAATTTTTTGAAAAAGAGCTTTTTCTCTTTCAAGTTTTTTGATAGTCAAGTTTGGCTTTAATGAAATAAAGGTATGCCTAAGTCTATTCTACTTTAGTGAACAGATTCTTATAGTAAGCACACTGGAATATTCAATTTTTGTTATTTTATTTTCTATCTTTGCCATATTTTGAACAGTATTTACTCATTCTAAATTCTCGCGCGGACAAGCTTGGCGAGCTTGCATATGTCGGAAGTTCGTCAATGTTGTCTACATAATGTTATAAGGAATTGTTCAATAAAAAGTTTTATAAAATTTTACTAGGTTTTTCTAATATTTTTGAACAAAATATATTAGATCGAACATAAATTAATATTACATTTTAATTACAAAAGGAATTTTAGTTGTTTAGATAAGGTGAAGTCACGAATTCATTCATTCGCTTCTGTCTTGCCAATAAATATTGGGTACTTTTCATTTCGTAATTTTAATTTAAATTCGTGTTATTTTTCTTGCTTTTCAAAGTTTTTGTTTTTTTTTTTTTTCACCAATTTACCTACATTTTAATTGAAGTAAATATTTCCTACACATGCAAGCTTTATTATAGCATGAAAATTCTCTCTTTCTATATTAATTTTATACGTAAACATATACATATATAATAAACTCATACATGTATATTGAAATATTTTTATAAACAGTAATGACTTGAGTTTTTACATTTAATTCGTGAAAAAAATTTTTTTGTACTAAATTTTAATAGAAATTGTACTGCAATGCAAAAGTATGAGTTATAGACTTAATCGAGTCGATTTCAATAAAAAATTGGGCAAATGAATTTTTCGATTACGGACTACATTTAATTATCTTTAATAATTTTCATGCATTTCATGCAATTACAAGCAAAAACAAATTCAGATTTAACATCGGCAAAATTTTGATTCTCAATTGTAGATTCTTAATTGAGCCGGTTCAGTGGTAAGTGGAACGCAAACTTAAGAAATTTTTCGAAAATGAAACGTAATTGTACTTTCAATTTATATTTTACAAATAAAAGATGATTTCACCTCAGTAAAATTTAGTACTAAAGTAAAATTTTATAATAAAATATCAAAAAATATGTACTTTATTTGTTAAAAAAAAACACCACTCACATTTCATTTCACCACACCTTAAATATGCACAGTTGGTTGAATGAAGAGATAAATTTGTTTTTACAAACATTTTCTAAACTAAAACTTTCTTGTAAGTTGAAATGTAAGTAATTTTATAATATACATCTGTGTGTATGTTTACAATTACAAGGCATTGTAAGGTAGATTAATATTGAAGAAGAAAAGTAATAAAGAAAAACTAAATAATAAAATGAGAATAAAAGAAGAACAAGAAAAAAAAACGCTTAATTTGAAAGGTAAAACCAGTATGAAGAGAAAATTTCTTGTTTTTTTCCAATATTATATTTAATTTTCTTTTTTTATTTTAATTTTATTTTTACTTTGACCAAATGATATTTACCTATATATTTAAAAAAAAAAGAAAAATATGCTCACTTAAGCCAGTCACGTGACCTAAAAAATTTTTCCTCTTCATATATGTATTAATAATTAATTACAAACAGAAATTACTAGAAAAGGATTTTTAATATTTTTATAATAATTTTGTTTACATAAGAATAATAATAATTAGCTTAATGAAATTATCCATATAAAAAGTTATAAAAAATTTGCATTAAATATTCTCTCAAAATCACGAATTTGTTTTGGAAAAGCGCTAAAAATGAATTATAGATTCACATATTTTTCTGAAATTTACTTATTTTATTAAAGCAAAACTTAGGAAACAGTCATATTTAAAAGACCTATACGCAAGAGAGAAGAGTACACTTTTTAGCCACACAATTATGTACAGAGTGTCATGATCTAAAATTTTTATTGTGATAAATATTAATTATGCTCTTATTCTACTCTCACCGAAACCTTTCACAAAATATCAAGAAAGCTACTAAATTTTGGAATAGGTATTTATTCGAAATCTCATACACATGTTCATTTAGTATTCCGACAATATTTATTTTGATTTCTTTACTAATTTTTTGCATTTGCTAAAAGTTTAATTTTTATCAAAATATTTTTTTTTTTAATGTATAGAATGCGTGAGAATATTCGATATTTCAATGTATTAACTAAGACTCCTTGCATATTACGAGTATATGCTATAAAATTATTCATAACTTTGAATAAATTCTTTTTGGAGCATAAACTTTTTCAAATACCTATACATACATACATATATTTTTCTTAATAGCACTTGCAAAATTTTTCAATTATTTATTACAATACGCCTATATTACATTCATAAATAAATTTATGCACAAACAAAATTATGTCAGGTGGTTAAGTGAAAGCCCTCTATAATGTACGTATGTACATACATATATGTATGTATGTATATGCATTTTCAATCAACATGTAAATATAATAATGAGAAATGAAAAAGAAGATTATTTTGAATGAGCTTTAAGCAATATTGTGAAGAATTTTTATGTTACCTATAAAGATTTATTGTGAATATACGGATGTATGTACATAACAAAGCAAAGAAGAATAAAACAAGAAATATTCCCTGAAAATTAAATTATTATTATTATAAAGTAAACGTGAAACAATATAATATATTGTGTAAGAGTCGCTGACACAACGACATCTCGTGTATAATAAATCCACAATGCTTCAAAATATTCATATGGTTTTATATTGTTTTTTCTTATATAAAATTTTAAAGGTTTATGAAAAAAAACCCCTCAATATTTTATGATTTATTGAGAAGTAGTTGTGATTTATATACGTCCAACGACGTCACTTTATACAAGGGAACACAAGTTTATCTTAGACAGATATTTGTATTCATGGTATTATGGATGGCTACAAATTTCATACCGCCATGTGAATGATTAAGTGTAGAATGACAAAAAACGTAAAATTTTAATGTCATAATATTGAAAACAAACTTTAAAACCGTAATATTCGAATTTATAGGCTAGGTTCTAATGTCACTCAAAAAATAATTGGCATATTGTTTGGTGAGAAGTTTACCTTATTTACAAATTTACAACAAAATTTCATATTATTTAACAAAATACTTTCGATTTCATTTTATTCTTAGTTTTATTTTTAATACAACATTATTGGAACTTAAATCCAATAGCCCAACCAGTACATGAATATTATGTCTATAATATAAAAAAAAAAATTCCGAAGAGTTTCAGATTAAAAGTTATGCTTTAATAAGAAATATAATAAGATTATAACAGGTAATTACACTTTCTTTATACCGCACATATTAGGTTTAGATATTATAAGACCATCATAATGTATGCTTGTTACAAGATTGATATAAAGATTAGCATTTTAGATTACACATAAGATACCTAATATGTATATAAATTTTTACTGCCTCTAACAATATTTGACGTCAATAAAATTTAGATGTTATAAGACTTTTGTTTTTTTTTTTGTTTTAAATAGTTTTTGATTATGAAAAAAACAAGAAATTGTTTAAAAAGAAAATGAAAAATGAAAAAAGAGAGAATTGCTTAGCGATATTTTAATTATTGTCAAAACAAGCTGTACATTTTCCTTCTGTGAGTAAGCATCATTAGCAAACTGTTAAAATTTG